CTTTTCATCCAGTACCCATTCCTGCTTTATTCGCAGCGTTGACGGTGTCCTTGAGCTTAGGCGCGCGGTCCGAAGTTGGGCGTGGGGCCTCATTTTCAGTGTTTCACCCTCCACAGGACATCATAGAGACGTAAAGAGAGGTTGGCTTCGGGAGACACGGTGATGCCACTTTCAACTTGCGACGTTGTAGGGTTTTCGCCAGGTAAGTTGGGTGAATTCCTCATGCACGAATCATGTCCGTTAGCGCGCGCTTTCGCAGCGCCGCAAAACTGAAGAAATGCTGATGTAAGTAATCTAAATAAGGTGAAGAGCAGACCTATATCCAACTGAAAAACAATCAACATGAATTAAGAATAGAAATCATGTCGAAGTGAAGAGCCATCAATGGAATTGACTTAGTTTTCTTTGTGGATCTCACTCTATGTGAGCTCAGTTTGCAGTAGCAGACAAACTTTAGCTGGACACTTCAACTATGAAGTGACGGCATTTTCGCCACTGGACTGGTCACGTAATAGCATGTCCTGCGGTTGCTGGTACACCAGCAGTGTCTAGTCTCACTTCTGTATCTACGCTTGTCTTCCGCGATCGTCGGTTAACGGAAGTTTGTCAGCCATAAGCACTGTACGTGGTTAATAGCTGAACTGATCTCTGATCCGGAGCCAGGTACAATTTGGGTCGTTGCTCCCTTCATATAGAACCATCCTGTCTCGCACTGACTTGTTTGTTGAAGGTTTTAGGCGAGGAGCACCATTTATTTGTCGGATTAGTTTGTTGTCTATATCATCTTCAATGTATGTATGCCTAGACGTATATGCTGCGTAAGATTATTAGGGTAAATCTACTGTTGGATGCTGATTAACGTTTCAGACTTACCAACGAACCACGCGCCTGTCAGTCAAGAAAGACGGTAGCGATCATGTGGTTGCGCTTATCGGGGTCCCATCAAGCTTGAAACGTTACGTTAGATCTTAGGGCCCATATGGTGTTAAATACCAGTGACGTTTGGAGGATTGGTGACCAAGATGAAGCTTTTTATCCATTCGGCACTGGTCACATGGCTGTGCGATTTGGTCCACAGCCTTCTAGACCCGGAACCACACACTCCGTCCCCTTTGCGCGCAAATCAAATCAACATGGGTGAACGCGCATGCTACACGTCGCGATGCTTAATTTTAAATCCGCAATTATATATATATATATATATATATATATTAGGGGCTTGGTCACCAATTTTTCCAGCGTGAAGAATTGCTCTGTGCTGTTATCCCGTGCATGTTGATCTGTCATCAAGAAACTCAGATTCTTAGGGATCAGGCTGAGTTTCGCGTTTGTCTGAGTTGCGTCGATTATATGGTCACCATGCGACAAGTGATAATGTGGACTTTCCTCCAACGAGCAGCGGTGACCATTTACCTTCATTAGTGCTTGGCTTCTGACCGCAACGATCGTCAGTAACTGTGGTAGTGTCTGGGGGTGAAAGACATCCCTTCTGATTTTTCGCGTTATAAAGTCTTTAAATATCTACTTCCGTGGGCACTTAATGGTTCACACAGACTTTCACCTGAGTTCGACGCATCCACGTGTGTCGCACAAGAATGCCGCATCCCGCCCTTCGCCATTGACATGCAACTCTAGTTTCCTTTGCCTTTACCAACACCGTGAAGGTTAAAGTGCTCCGTAGGCGTCTGCTCACGTATCGCTCACAAACCGCATTAAATAGCCTAAAGATACCGCGAAAACGCGTGGCTTGCATTCTACGGTGCATATCATAACCATAGATGGCGCCTGACCTCGTGTTTTCAGATAGGCATAGTAGGTAAATTAATCTATCTGGGCAGCCGCAAAGTTCCCTGCGAGCTGGCAAGATACAAAGGCAATCCCTGCATCTAGAAAGCCACGTGGTGTTTTCCAACTTCCGATCTTGGTGGCGTCGATGAGACATTCTGGCTGTCAAAGTATGGCTTACGCTGATGTAGTGCGATCTACCTGGACTGATTTATCGGAGGTATGGCTGCTGCTTACGGCATTCTCGAAAACTTCCCGCAGTTGTCCGTCGCTAGCTTTGAGGCATCTCATGGCTCTGTCGGGAACGTTGGACCCTGGATGCGGAGTTACTGCAGGTCGATTTTGGGAACTGTGAACCCTTCCCGGTCGATCAGCTGGCTAAACCCCATTGATAACGCCTCTTGAGCCACACATTTCGAGGCACACCAGTGGTTACAGGAATTTCCCAGTCAACCTGTTGATAACGGTTTTGCGTATGAACAATTTCCTCCAATGAGTAACTCAATGTGTTAGAGGAATAGGATAACATAATAAACTGACTGGCGCATCACCTCTAATGCACGTATGCTTTTTGTCCCTGTCTCCATGTTTTCGGTGAATAGAACTTGCAGCTTAAACCAACATCCTTGTCCATGTTTTCAGATGAATAACTGACAGCTACCTACTCAAAGGGGTGGTCTGGTTTCGGTGCTACAATGACATTGCTGGCCACGCTGAATGAAATCCCGTTTAACGAGGTCTAACCATGTAAGGAAGGCCAAAGTGAACAGCCGGACAGAGAGCAGCGAGCCTCATCCCTGTGATACAGGGCGCTCGATTTGAAGTCGTGCTGTTCTCTGTGACTGGACCATGAAGGCAGGAAGCTGTTTTGTCCAAGCGACTAACCAGAAAACCTTACATTCGTCCATTGACTGTGTATTGTTGTGCACTCGAATGATTGAGCCGGAAATAGAGAACAAACATTGCCGAATGGTTAACTTTAATCTTCTAACAATTTCAGTACATCAGCTAAAACATTAGGAAGCACAGTTAGTTTAATGAATAGCAGGCAAAAAGTTAAACGCAACATTAGTATATAAGGTTCTCCACCGGAGGGGTTATTGTCAAGAGAATATAGATTGGGCTTGGTGGTTTCGAAAATTATATGGTCTAGTACGTTGTTAGTCTTTGATGTACTGCAGAACATTCTTCGGAATCCACTGGATTGTTCTGGTGGCGCGGTTTTTTCTCCAGGATGATCAATCGAATGTGATTGAGTCTCGACTTGAGGAGCCGCTACGCTTTCGTTTGATTCCGTTTAATAGACATCGGAGGTATTTTGTGCTTTGGGTGTCAGATGTCTAAGA